CCTCCCTTCCACCTCGCTTCCTCCTCCCTTGCTCCTCCCTTTCTCCCCCCGTCCTCCCCCCGTCCTCATCCAATCCTCCTCCCTTCCCCCTTGCTCCTCCCTTCCTCCCCCCGTTGGCCCCCCTTCCTCCTCCTGTCCTCCTCTCTCCCTCTTCCCTTCCTCCTCCCTTCCTCACCCCCTCCTCCTCTCTTCCCTCTCCCTTCCCCCTCCCTTCCTCCTAGTCGCCGCGGCGCGGCAGGAAACGCATTCACAACAGTCGTTTCAATCATGAGCCGCCGCAGCCGCGGGGTGCGCCACAACCACAAAGGAGGAAAGATGTCCGCTGACGAAGACGACGACGACGACGACGACGACGACGACGACGACCACGACGGGCTCCACGACGACGACGACGACGACGACCACGACGACGACAACGACGTCCACGACGACGACAACGACGACGAACACGACCACGACCACGACGACGACGACCACGACGACGACGGCCACGACGACGATGACAACGACGACCACGACGAGGACGAGGACGATGACGACGACGACGACGACGACGACCACGACCACGACCACGACGACGACGACGACCTCGGGAAGCCCTCTACAGATACCCTTGGGGTAATTTTGGGGGAGGAACCTCTTGAAGCCTACTCGGCGTCCTCTCGGGGCCGTCTTGGAACCCACTGGTGCCTCTTGGAACCTCTGCAAGCTTCCCCAGGCCGCGTTGGGGGGCTCTGTCAGCCCAGGGTTCCCCACCTCGTTGGGGGTGCTCTGTCACTCGACATCTTCTTTTTTTTCATGTGCGAACGTTGCGCACGAAGCTCTCAAAGGAATAATCCGCAGCGAATTGGCGCCGTTCCAAATGCCAGCAATTCGGGCGCGGCTGCTTTGCAGGCCGTCACCAGGAGAGGGAGTAGGGAGAAGCGCGCTGATGCTGCACCAGAGGAGGCGAAGAGGAATGAACAGGTGGCGGGGGCTGCCTGCTAGTTGGACAGCTCGCGGGAAACAGATAAATCACGCCGCTCCGCAAACTTTATAAACATCCTCGACGCTCACGTGGTCGACTGGAAGTTTGCCGTCGGCGGGCGGGCACCAGCAAGTGGCAAACAGGCCTTTGTACCGTTGAGCCCTCGGCACCATGCAATCGACCATCTGATCGTCCAGGGCCACTGGCGTTTGCACCTCCTCCCTCAGCGCCTCCACCGCCCGCCCCCTTGTCGGCGCGGTGGCCCCCCAGAAGCCTGCGCTCTGGATGAAACGGCAACCCCTTGGTTTGCAGGCCAGCCCTGACGAGCTCCTTCAGCGCGAGTTCGGGCCTGCACACGAGGTCCTCGTGCCGCACGACGAGGGCGCGATGGGTTGGGGACGCCGGGCTGCCCGCGCCAGTACCGCGGAGCACTGCGGCCATGTAGTGGCACCACAAGTCGAACGCATCCTCGAACTCTGGATCGTAATCGACGCAGCCTTTCGCCCAGGCAAGCCAGCGGACGTGCACAGGTTCGTCTCTCGGCCCCCGCAAGAGCCAACTCACGTCACCCATCCTCCGAACCCGCTTCGTGCCGCTGGCAGAGTTCGGCATCAGTTCGCAGGCGCCCTTCGACATCGCCCTGATCCACCTGGGGAAGGGGGATTGCGAGAGCAGCATGGCATGATAGTTTGGGGGAAGTGAGAAGACGGGAGGGCAGGCAGGCTGATACCTCAAAAGCTGGCGCGCTTCTGCTGCGCCATTGGCCCGAAAGACCCGTCGGCCGCCTGGTCGGCTCGCGCGCGCACGCCAGAACCACCACTGGGCGGCCCTGCTCATCCTCTGGCGGAAACTCCAACGGCGTGAGGAGCAGGTCGTGCTTCCACACGTGGCGGCCGTTGAAGGAGACGCACCCGTCCCACCTGCTCTTGCGCACCTCGACGTCGAAGTGCCGCCCCATGTAACTGTGGAGGGCGTGCGTCCCCGTTTTCCAGAGCCCCTGCGCGACAGCGCACGGCCGCTGGCACTTGCCGCCTGCATTGAGCTGCAGGTGGTCGTCCTGCGTGCGACAGTACCCCACGGGCGTGCCCACCACAGGCACAGGCAGCACAGCGTGGATGGACACCTCCTCGAAGTGGAGCGGCTCCCCTGGGCTCCCGCGCGGCGCCTGTGAGTGAGAGGGGGGGCCAGGCGAGGACTCCCCCTTGGTCTTCCCGTGGCCTTCCTGACCCCCATCATGCCTGATTCCAGTATAACCTCCCCAACCCCCTCCCCTTGGGAATGGGTCGATTTCCACGACGACCAGAGTCGACCGGGGTGGAGGTGTGGTCGGAATCGATCAGGCGGAATCTATTGGAGCCAATTGGAATCGGAATCGATCGCGCTGGGGATCGGATCGAACGCGGGCCCGACGGGAATCGCTCGGCACTCGGGCTCCTCGAAGAAGCCCCGTCAGACGCGTTCGGAAGCGGACTCAGAATCGAGCGGACTCGATAGAAATCGAAATCGGAAACGTCAAAAATCAGACTCGGCTTCGTCGCCCTCGAATTTTGGCCCCGTGTCCGCGTAGTCCACGGCGACGGCGCCCGCCCCCGCGCCGTCGGGCACGGGGGGCGGCGCCGACGCATCGGCAGGCGGCGCCAGCGGCGGCGGCGGCGCCAGCGGCGGCGGCGGTGGAAGCCCAGCCGCTACGACCTCCGCGGTCGCGAAGGCTCTGGCAGCTCTGCGGCGGGCCTGTCCTGCAACGGCGCGCGCTGCAGCGCCACTCGTTCTCTGGTGCGCAGTCTCCCAGTCGGCCGCAAGCGACGCGAAGGCCTCGGCCTCGGCGCTGTCTCGGACGACGCGCCTCTTCGACGCAGGCTCGGGCGGGCCCGCCGGACTGCCCACCTCCGCGCCCACCTCCGTGTCGGAGCCCTCCACCACGAGCGGCGCCGCAGCAGGCGGCCCTGACGACGAAGCAGCAGCCCCGGCGCGCGCGGCAGCACCAGACTGGGCCGCGATCGTCGCGATGGGGATTTGGCCGCCGACAGCGCCAGGCGGCCCCGTCGACATCTCCTGGCCAGCGTCGGGGGCGGGCGGCAGCGCGAGCAACGGCGTCGGAGGCGCGTGCTCGAGCGACGGCGGCGCCCCGCACTCCGACCAGGGCCCGAGGAGAAGCTGCGGGGCGGCCGACTCGCCGTGGATCCACGGCTCAGAGGTGCTGAACACCAGGAGAGTGCGCAAGTCGTCGGCCGCGGTGTCGGGCACGCCCAAAGGCGACCAAGGGCAAGGCTGCATCGGCGTCGGGGGCCCCCTCGGGGGGGCGCGGCGCCCAAGGAGAACCTCGATCCGCTCGTTGATGGCGGAAAGAAGCAGTGCTCGGCCAGCGATGGGAAACCGCCCCTGCTCCTCCGCGCGCGGCGGCGCGCGGCTCGCCAGCTCCAGCTCCATGGACTGCTCGGCCTCGGACGGTCCAGGCGCGGGCGGCTCCTCTGGCAGCGGCGGGCCCGGCTGCTCTGGGAGCCCCTGGCGCACGCCCCCGAACCAGTGCTTCAGCCGCCACTTCACCTGCGAGTCGGCGGGGGGGGGACATGAAGGAGAGAGAAGGGCGTGACAGGAACATGGCGGGCCCGATTTGCAAACTATGCCGATTCACCTTGCTCTCCCGATTCTTGCCGCCCCGCTTGTGCCTCGCCGAAGCGAAACCCTTGGCTTCCCACGGCGGAACGCTCTGGGAGGGGCCGGCGCGCTCGGCTGCACCATGGCCCCCCCCCCTCGTCGCGCCATGGAGCCGCGGCGTGCGCCTCCGCCTCCGCCTCCGCGGCAGCGGCCCTGCTGCTCGAGGCGGAGGGCCACCGCCAGGCGCTCCGCCAACCGCTGTCGGAGGCCCAGGTGGAGGACCGCCAGTCGCCGTCGGAAGACCACGCCCCGCTCCACCAACCACCCCAGGCCATGGCGTCTGCCAGGGGCAGCGGCAACGGGAGCTGCGAACGCGCAGCGCGGCAACACGTGCTCGCTGCTCGAACCAACGCAGCAGCAAGGAGCGAGAACGCATGCATGACGCCTCTTCCCCCTTTTCCCGTGTTCCTTTTCCTCCTCTTCCTCTTCTTCCCTCTCCTCCTCCTCCTCCTCCTCCTCGTCTTCCTCCTCCCCCTCCCCCCCCTCCTCCTCATCCTCCTCCTCCTCCTCCTCCCCCTCCTCCTCCTCCTCCGCCTCTCCTCCTCCTCCTCCTCCCCCCCGTCCTCCTCCTCCTCCTCCTCCTCTCCTCCTCCTCCTCCCCCCTTCCTCCTCCTCCTCCTCCTCCTCCTCCTCCTCCTCCCTCCTCCCCCCTCCTCCCCCCCCCCCCCTTCCTACTCCTCCTCCTCGTCCTCCTCCTTCTCCTCTTCCTCCTCCTCCTCCTCCCCCTCCTCCTTCCCTGGGCGCTGGTGGACCCTGCCACTGCCACTGGGACCTTCACCGGGGCCCCCTCATTATGGGGCCACGGAGCGTGCGAGAGATGCGCCGGAATTGACCTGCGGAGAGCGGCCGCAAGGATGGGAGGAGGGAGGGGGGGAGGGGCCCGATACACTCATAAACCCAGATACTTTGAACAAAAACAAGCAACAAAAAAACACATAAATTCAAAGTATTAATTAATAAATGGAATAAATTTTAAAAAATGAATTTCCAATGAAAAACCCAAATAAACAATGTAAAATCTGAATAAACAATAGAAAATCATAATTTTTGAATTTCCGGTTAAAAATCTCACTGGCGAATAGATTTCCTTCCCTACAGGATCCTTGAATCATCCGAATTCCCGACCGCCTCCCGGGGGCCCGGGCGGTCTGCACTGCGGGCAAGCCGCCCCCCGACGGGGAAGCGGCGCGGCCCGCCTCCAGGGCAGGAGCACGACCCCTGGGCGGCTGCACTCCCAAGCGGCTGCGCAACTCTGCGGCGTCCGCGGCAGTGCCGATGTCGGTGATCGGCAACGCTCTGCTGTCCGGGCTTCCACCGCGGCTCGGGCCTGCAGGGCAGTCGGCCAAGCTCTCGCCGCCGCCCCGGCCAGACCCCTAGCCGCGGCCCCCGAGGCGCCCGAGCAGCTGGGCCATGCGCACCTCGGCGGCCTCGATGCCCGTGACGAGCTCCTCGTCCTCAACTGAGAGGCTCAATCCACCACTGTCGGGGGGAATGAGCTCGAACCACTTCGCCGTCCTCGAATGGCCATCCCGCATGGTCTTTTCGATAGCCTTGATCCTGCAGAAAATAAAATCCAGGGCGTGAATGGGCTTGCCCGAGACTATGAGGCCCGCACTCTCCGCGAGCGTCCGCAGCTCGCGGTACCGGTCCCCGCCAATCTCACGAATGGGGTGCGCAGGCTTCAGTACCCGGAACAAGAACTTGAGCGCCACGGGGCTATGCTTGGTCACACTTCCAGCATCATCATGGTCCAGAAACTGCGCCATGTTCTCCATCTCCCTCTCCGAGAGGCGCCCTGGATGCTTCTCCGCTATCTTCTTGCACGCCGGGCGGCGGGCCGCCACGGGGCGCCCGCCAGGGACGCGATCATCATCACTGTCAAACAGGCCGTCGTCGTCGTCGCCCTACCGACTCAGGTACTCGGCGAGCGTCTTCAGCACTGCCCGCTCGCCTGAGCCGCGAGCACGACCGCCATCTGCTGGACCAGCAGCGGCAGCACTCGGCGCCTGTCCAGTCATCCTAGCCTGGACCACCACGCCGAGCTTGGCCCTCTTGTTGGGCGCGGCGGCCGCGGCCCCGCCTGCAGCGGCCTCCGGGCCGCGCACTGTCGCGAGCTTCTCCCGCAACTTATTGAGGCGCTCCAGGTAGCCGTCCTTCGCCGAGCCCTTCGCGCCTTCGGACTTGCCTGAAAGCGCTGCGAGCTCCCTGTCGAGCTCAGCAAAGGCCTCCGCGTCCGCCTCGTCGGCCTCCTCGTCGCCGTCGAGCTCCACCAAGTCGCCCCCAGCCTTGCCTACGCCGGCGGGGCGTTTCCTGGCCGGGCCAGCGATAGCGGCGCGACTCGGCGGCGGTTCCTCTTCCTCCTCAGCGGCCTCAGCCTCATGTAAGGCGGCCTGAGCGACGTCAGCCGGCAGCTCGGGGCAATCCTCATCGTGCTGGAGCACTGCCATGTGCCGCTCGGCTGCCTGAGCGGCCGTGAGCCTCTGGGGCGCTTTGGCGTGGAGCACCTGGCACCCCGCCCGCGGTGCCGTGTAGCGACATCGCGAGACTGGCCCAGGCACACGTGTAAGATCATTTTCTCTCGTTTCGCAATTCGTGAATTAAGCCACCATGAAAGATATTGGTCACCAGCGGCAAAGTACTCCACCTCGTAGGCGGTGCCCCCTGGGTTGTCCGACATCACTCTGCGCACCACGCCAAGAACAGAACCCGCGTCGGACCCGTCATCATGCAAGACGGGATGTCGGAAGCACTCGCCCGGCGTCAGCACTGTCGAGCGGCCGCCCGCCATCAGCAGCCGCTCGGACGAGCACTGGTCGGGCCCAGGGGGCGCGGAAAGGTGCACGGTCAGAGTGCCTGAAGCGCTCGAGCTCCAGACCGCAGGACCTGACCTGCGGCGCAACCGCTTGAGCCGTACACCTACGGAACGATCGAGCGAAGGAGTGTTCACCCTGAGCTCTCCCGAGGCCCGTCGGGCGAACACTATATCACCTGCTCGCTCGACGGCGGCGCTTTGCCTAAGAGGTCCAAACATACGCCCAACCCCTTGGGTGTGATGTTACATGGGAGAGGATGGAAGGAGCGGGGATGGGGGAATGGGAGGTGGACGCGGAATTGGAGGAATGGGAGGGGGCCGGAATGTGAGAAATGGAAAGGAGCCTGAATCGAAGTAGTGGGAACCATAATGGGAGGAGTGGAATCGGAACGAATAAGGAAGATCCGGAGCGAGAGGAACCGGAATGGGAAGGAGCCGGGACAAGAAGAATTTGAGAGAGCCGGCGTGGGAGGAATAGGAGAGAGCCAGAATGGGAGAAGTGGAGAAGAAACGGAATTCGAGGAATGGGATCACGAACGGGAAGAAACGGAAGGAATCGGAAACAGAGATGGGAGAGAGCCGGAAGGAGCCGAATTGGTAGCTTTGGGGAAAACGAAATGGGAACCGGAAAGGGAGGGCAAAAAAACAAAACAAATCGGAACGGGAGGAATGGGAGGGAACCGGAATGGGAGGGCGTCATTATGGGAGGAATGGGAGGAATGGGAAGAAGCAGGAATGGGAGAAGAGGAAAGGAGCCACAATCGGAGGAGGAGGAGGACCTTGACCTTGTCCTTGAATCACCATGAGCGCCATCCTGGTCTGACTTGGCCGTGCACTATGTACGGTCATGCTACACAACAAAAGTTCCGTCGACAATGTGCGGATCACCTGTCTAAGGATATGGTGCGGTGAGCCTGCTCGAGCGGACTACCTCGATGGTTGGGCCTCGAGGTGACGGGACCTGTGCCCTACGGGACCGTGTCGGTCCCAGGGCAAGTCCCCACAGTCGTCGACGCATGAGATGACTGTGGGAGGCATTCATTCAATCCCGCGGCACTGACGGTATGCTACGCAAGGTCACTGAGACTGCGGTCCTGTGACCGTGAGCTCCTCGTGCAACTGAGAGTTATACCAGTCTCGTGCAAGAACATATGTGCGCTCACTCGACAACATGCTTCTATATATAGGCGCGCCAGGCATGACATTACGTGATGCAAGAAAGTCCGTAATAATACGCATAGGAGGAGGAGAAGGAAGAGGAGGAGGAGGAGGAGGAGGAGGAGGAGGAGAGAGGAGGAGGAGGGAGGAGGAGGAGGTAGGATAGCAAAGGAAAGGGCAAACAATAAATTCACAGATCTGGCTCCCACGGCGCCTCCTGGCGACGGGGGGGTGGTGGGCGCCGCGTAGCAGAGAGACATCGCCACAGAGTAGTACAGTTAGTTTGCATAAGGGCGCGCGCAAGGATGCAGGGGCCCTTAGAGGGCCCGGCGCAGGGGTCGTAATTATGGCAATTATGGAAAAATAATGGAAACAGACTCGTGTTGGCAGTCATGGAAGAAAAAAAAAATAGATAGAAAAAAGAAAGAGAAAGAAGAAAGAAAAGAAAAAAAAAAAAAAAAAAAAAAAAAAAAAAATAAAAAAAAAGAAAAAAAAAAGAAAAAAAAAAAAAAAAAAACAAAAAACTAGAAAGAAAAAAAAAAGGTAAAAGAAAAAAAAAAAAAAAAAAAAAAAAAACAAAAAAAAAGAAGTAAAAAAAAGCAAGGAAAAGGAAAATCCTAAATAAAAATAAAGTCAAAAGATAAAAAAAAGAAAAAAAAAAGGCAAGTGTTGGCAATTATGAAAACCCGTGTTGGCAATTATGGAAACCCCTGTTGGCAGTCATGGAAACCCGTGTTGGCAATTATGGAAACCCCTGCTGGCAAATATGGAAACCCGTGTTGGCAAGTATGGAAAGCCGTGCTGGCAGTTATGGAAACCCGTGCTGGCAGTTATGGAAACCCGTGCTGGCAGTTATGGAAACCCGTGCTGGCAGTTATGGAAACCCGTGTTCAGTTATGGAAACCCTTGCTGCCGATAATTTTAAGTGCCGCGAATTCTTTGATTATTGTCAGGCAAATGAGAGGGCGGGGAAGAAACGCTCTACCAGCCAGATTTGAGAATATCGGGTTCGTTAAGTTTAGATGGGCTGAAACATTAGAAGTGTCCGACCATGTGCCGACAATGTAGCTAACGCACTATTCTGAGGCAGTGCCGTTGACCCCCGCTTGCACAATATATGATTAGGCTGTGTGTTGCCCTATCCTCCAATCATATTCGCCTCCACAAGATGTGCCGACTTCAATTTTGCTGAACAAATGTCATGGCTAGTGATTAGGTTGTCCATTTCGGACCTTTCGAAAACACTCCGCTTTTACAAGCGGTTTTCCTCTTGTGCGGTCAAGCGGGGACATCACAATACCATCGCACATCCATGGCAATCAGATCGATACTCGCCCAAAAACAATCAAATTTAGCTGTCAATCGTCGTTCAATGAGATCAATCAATATGTGCGTTCCTCGGACGTGCCAGATGTTTCTCCACAACTCCATGATGTCCGTCAAAATTTGTCGCCGCGCACGCACCAAGTGTGTATGTTTGGCATTGAGGCGGAAGCATCGGATCGATTCGGATTACGATAGATGATTAGAAATTGCAGGGGTAATTGACGAGATGCCAAAGGGTACTTACGTTTGAAAGAGTGATGCGACAATTTCTTGGAGACGATCGGGGAGAGAAGAAAGAAAACGCAAAAGGATAACAACATAAGAAAACAAAACAAAAATAACACGATGACATAAATTATATTCCGCATCGCGTTTTACATCAAATTCAATCAATCACCAAGTATCGATATTCGAGCCATTCCAAGATAAATACTATTAGGTCGCATGTTGCGCTGCATTGGCTAAAAGATGTCGGTAGGATCATCATCGATACCATTCGCCAAATATTCTTTATATTCCGCCTTGACGGTTCCGCATTTTACCGGGTCGTGGTCCGCAATGGATTTTGGAATGAGGCACCCAACTAAGCACGCAAGTTACAGCAGGGCGTCGGGAAAAATCAAACGCACCATCTCCGAAACGTGATGATGAAGCATTGAAAGTTAGATATGATTGCAAAAAATTGAGATTCACGACAATGCGAAGAAAATGCAAATCTTGAGTTTTCTACACGAAATTTTATGTTTGCAAATGTATCTCTTGCTGCAATTTGAACCGCACCGAAAATAAATCTTCCATTGCGAGCGTCCCGCTTGCGAAAGTACCGCATCTGGTGAAAGAAAAAGGCAATGTCATCGTGGAAATATTCCGTATTCATTCTGGAATCCCGGTTGGTGTCAGTCAAAATTATTCATTCAGCGAGACAGAATGAGATGTAAAGATTTCACGGCCACGAACGCATGGCATCTTCAGCAATTTGAAAGCATCCTAGAAATCATCATTGGTAAATTGGTAGTGGTTTAGCGCATTGAGGGGAGGCGAAAAATGTTCCCGCATTCGGCCGCATGATCTTCCGGAAGGGCATGCGCTTGCGGCTGACGCGCAACATCGACAAGGACCGACCGGGGCTTCGTGAACGGATGCCTCGGCCACGTCGAGGAGGTCCTCTCGGTCCAGCCGCCCGCGCTCGCGCTCCGCACCGCGGAGAACACGCGGCTGCTCGTCCACTACGTATTCGCGGACGGGCAGAAGTTCATGCCGCGCGCGTACGGCTGGGCGATGACGATCCGCCGCTCCCAGGGCAGCACGCTGGACATGGGCGCCATCTGCTTCGACAGGACGCGGAGGGCGCCAACCGCGGGCAGGCGACGCGGGCATGCCCGTCCAGGGCCCAGGATCGGCGCGGCGGCCCGCCTCCGCCGCCGCTTAGACCCAGCGCGTCGGTCCTCGACCCAGGAGGGACTTGCCCTGGTCGCTCAGGCCCACGGTCGACCCCCCCCCAAGGAAGCGGCCGGACCGAGGCTACGCGTACGTCGCGCTGTCGCGGTTTCGCACGCGAGACTCGGTCTTCTTGCTGGGGCGCATCCGCGCGACGGACTGGCTGCCCGTCGGCGGGGGCCCCAGCGCGGAGCAGACCTGCCCAGGCTTCCTTAGCGACTCCGACGCCAGCGAAGACGATGCGGGCGCGGAGTCAGAGGCCTCGGAGGAGGACAGTGGGCGCCCCGAAGAGGGCGCGGCATCGGGCGGCGGCGGCCTGGACACCGATTCTGCCTGCTGTTCCGACGCGCGCTCGGACAGCGTGGACCCCGCTCTGGGTTGCTTCTCGGACTGGAGCTCCGACGCGCACTCGGAGAGCGTGGATCCCGCCTTGGGCGACAGTCTGGTCTGGTCCTCGGACGAAGAGAGCGTCGACCCCGCGAAGGCGCTGAACTCCGTCGGGTGGCCCCTAGTCGCCCACGCCACGGAGCCGCCCGCGCCCGACGCCGCCGTGGCCAGCGCGGGCAGCGACTCAGACGGCGGCTGCAGCGGCGCCGCGTCGCCACCGCCGTCGCCCTCGGTCGCCGACTGCCCTGCGCCCGAGCCGGCAGAGGGGCGCCCGGCGTCGCCACCAGAGCCCGGCTTGGCGCTGGGCTGGGACGACGCGGCCGGCGCGTGGGCCCCGGTGGCGCCCTTCCGGCACTACTGGGCGTCGGAGGCGGGACTTTAGGCCAGGATGGGCTCGGTATCCTGGGGGAACCAAAAAGTGCATCATCGTAATCGATCCCCTCTTCTGCTCGCCCAAGCGCTCGCGCGGCGAAGGGAAGCGACGCCCTCGCGCCACCTCCCCAGACGCCTTCCTGGCCCCCATGCCCAGCGCGCGCGGGATCGCGCGGGACAGGGCTGGGAGGGCGCCAGGGGGGTTGCGGGGGGCGTTGTCTTCACTCGCCGTCGCTGGCGCTTGGTCGAGCCCTCCGCCCTCGCCCATACGTCGCCCTCTCGCGTTCGCCCAGGCGCGCGCGAAGCGGGAGGAAGCGACGCCCCCCCACGCCACCCGCCGGATGCTTCCCTGGCCGCCATGCCCAGCGCGCACACGCTGGGCGGGGCTGGGAGAGCACCACAGGGGGCGGGCGGGGGCGTGCCCCCCCCCCCCCCCGCGTCGCCTGCGCTTGGCCGAGCCTTAGCACCGCGGCGCGGCGCGCGGAGGCCGATGCAAGAGCGATGCGACGCGCGCACGCGCGGCGCCACAACGAGTAGCCCCACCCCCCCGCAGAAACTCACCGACGCCTTGGCGATGCATAAACCAGCTCGACGCGAGGCGCGCGGAATAATTCGTTGCTGGGCGAGATCGCTGCCCGCGACGCGGCGCGCGAAGGCCGATGCATGGGCGATGCGACGCGTGCGCGCGCGAAGAACCCAGCTCGACGCGATGCGCGAGGAATAGTTCGATGCTCGGCGAGCGCGTTCCCCGCGACGCGGCGCGCGAAGGCCGCGTCGACGAGGCGCAGCTGCGCCTTCCTCCGGGAGCTTCTCGGCGAGAGGCTCACGGGGGAGGGGGGCTTCTGGGCGGCCGTGGTCGCCCCGCCGCGCTGGCTCCGTGGCGCTTGAGCGCGCCGCGGAGTGACCGCGCGACGGGGCGGCCATATCCGCTCGGAAACCCAGGGGGCCATGTCCAGCCTCCACGGGGCGGCCCCTGGGGAAGGGCACGGGGGCGGCTCTCAACCCGAAAGGGTCGAGGTCGCGCCCGTACCTTTCGCGAAGGACAGTACTGACGCCATGCCTGGCATACCGAGGCCACGAACGTCTGCCACGAGTCTGGGCGAAGGGAGCACCCTGCACTTTCGCAGGCTCTCCCAGAACGCCACCCCCGGTACTCCGGGAGTTTACAGATCCTCCCAGAACGCCATTCCTGGCGCTCCGAGGACAAGGATCTGCGTGAGGGGTGCGTCCTGGGATTTTATCGAGCCAGAACGCCATTCCTGGCGCTCCGAGGCCAAGGATCTGCGTGAGGGGCGCACCCTGGGATTCGCATATCCTCCCAGAGCGCCATTCCTGGCGCTCCGAGGGCAAGGATCTGCGTGAGGGGTGCGCCAAAATGATGGGAGGCGGCCGAAGGGGGGACTTGAGGGCGGCGGAAGGCATTTCAGGATTTAAATCTTTATAGGCTCTTAGTTTTTAGGGTTGGGCCCCCAAGGCTCCCAAGGTTCCTAAAGATGGCCCCCAAGGCTCCCAAGGGTGCCCCGAGATGGCCCCAAGAGGTGGCCAGGAAGCCCCAAGAGGCCACCAAGATGCCCCCAAAAGGCCCCCACGAGACCCCCAGGAGGCCCGAAGAGACCCCCCAGGGGCACCCAAGATGCTCCAAGAGGCCTCGACGAGACTGCCAAAACATTGATTCCACCCAGGTTTTAACCACATGTTGACCTCTTGGGGGGGGCACTGATTCAGATGACTCCAAGAGCGCCTGGGAGAGCCCAAAATGACCTCCAAGATGGCTCAAGATATCCCAAAATGTCTCGTAAAGTTTTCCTCTGTGTGCTGCCCACTTCCCTGATCGAGGCAGTTCCTCTGGGCATCGTTTCTGGATGGGCTGGTGGGGATTCGCGAAGCGTCAACACTTCAGCCTTGATCGCCAGCAATATTTTCGAGCACGAAAAAAAACGAAACTGGAGAGTTGTCACGTGTCAGGCCCTAAGAAGCGATATTCCCTCGACACGGTTTCGGTACTTTTCTGGGTTCTCGAAACTATTTCGGGGATGCGGTCCTGAAATACGACGGGAGCAACATAACGTAACTGTTGTGGTTGTCGTTTTCCGCAAGTTTCAATAATACCTCCCGTTGATTGCTTGTGCGTGGCCTTGGCCCCCCACTGCGCTTGATCGGTGGCAAAATTGCAATGCCGCGAAATAGTGGGAGGCCACGACCCACATTCAAGCATGGGACCCCAAGGCCCAGACGGCGCGAGTCTCCTGGAGGCACAAGTATAGATAGGCGCATTGCGGGGGAACCGCTCCGCATTCCGGTTTGGGATCAGTTTCCCGGCCTCCACGAATATTTTTGACGCCAGGCCGCCAATACCTTTTTTATGTTTTGTGTTGCATGTGGCGTTGTCTTGAGTTCCCAGGGTGGAGTGGCCATGTGGGCCCCCGCCGTAGGACAGTATTCCTATCCCCAGGATCCCGTTTCTTTATTACGAACAAGTTCTTGGGATGGAGGGAAAGGGTGACATTGGAAATGCTGCTTCGATTGGTTTTCGAAGCTTGAATTTGCTAGAGGTGAATCACAAGACGGATTGATCTGCGAGGTGCAAAATAATATTTGGATTTCACACTGGGCCGCCCTCCGCCTTAAGAAAATGCTCAATTATTGTTTGGAGCATGACGAGGGTCATGGTCCCCGCTCATCCCCCCCCTATGACTTAACTCCCCCCCCCCCGAGCGCGCTCCGGAAATTGACGCCGCCGTGCGCATTGGGATTCGCATAGGTGTCCGCGTAGGAATCCGCATGGTAATTTGGTCCGCAATCGTTGTCGCCGTCGTCGGTCGAGGCTCGTCGCTCGATCGTCGTCATGCGCGCCAATGTGGCTGGCGCCTGCATTATAATCCAGGCCGATGACGGCAATCACTTTGGAGGGGTGGAGGGAGTCGATCACGTCACGTTTCGCGCCCGCGGCATCTGGGAATGCTTAAGAATGACGGAGGACGAATAGCACCAGCCTGTATGTTGCCATTTGCATCAAAAACGCTGGTGTACATCAGTGCCTGCGTGCACCACAGCGCCTCTGTACACCACACCACCTATGTACACCACAGCAGCCGCGTGCAACACCGCGTCAGTTTGTGCCACCGTGCCTGCGGGCACAACAGCCTTTGTGTTCACCGCAGCGCTTGCGTACACCACATCAGCCGTGTGCAACACAGCACCAGTGTACGTACACCACAATGCCTCCGTGTATTGCAATTGTACACCACGGTACCTGTGTGCACCACAGCAACCGTGTGCAACACAACACCACTGCTGTAGATAGAATTGCGCAAGAAATCTGTAAGACAAAATGGGGCGCTTGTGGATTCCACAAAAATTCTAAAAAGGAATACGCATGGGCAAAGGAGCGGCGCTGGAATCTACAAGTCCTCCCGGGTCCGCCCGCATCACCCGAACTCCTCCCATTTGCTGCCAGAAGGCTCCAACTAAATTGGCCGTCCGATAACCCATTAAACCGATTGAATCAACCATTCTGCGGTGCACGCTGAGATGCGCATGTGCGCTGTACCGACAACCCGCACGACAGGGGGTAAGGAACAGGAGGAGGAGGAGGAAGTGGAGGACGAGGACGAGGACGAAAACGGCGAGGAGGAGGAGATGGAGGTGGAGGACGAGGGAGGAGAGAAGAACGTCGCATTCGATTATGAGCACTTTTCTGGCGTGGCGTTCAGCTGTCCGAAGCAGATCTTCACGTGCATGCTCCTTCTACCTGTCCTATGCACGCAGGCACTGTGGTGTGCACCAGCGCTGCATTGCACACAGATTCTGTGGTGTAGACTTTCTCTGTGGCGTGCACAGGCCCTGCGGTGCACGGAAGAATTGTGGTGTACACAGAAGCTGCGTTGCAATGGTTGTTGCGGTGTACACATGCACACTCGCGCTGTAGTGTACGCAAGCACTGTGGTGTACACAGGCGCTGCGTTGCACCCGGGCGTTTCGGTGTACGCAGGCGCTATTTTGTACACGCGCGTTGTGGTGCGTGCGAGCCTTGTGGTGTACACAGGCGCAGTGGGGCAGATCGCCACTTACATGGTGTTCGCGTCGTCGTCGTCGTCATCGTCGTCGTCGTGTCGTGCGCGCGAGCGCGGTTGTGGTGCCGGAGCCACACGGCGGGAGAGGCGTTATGTCATACCCCCCCCCGCTTTTTCCCCCCATGATGACGCCCGTCATCGCCGAACAGGTAGATCGAATCATTTTAGATGCTCATTCTGGGGACCTTCCTGGAGCCACTCGTTCCACTCGTGCGTCGAAGCTGCGTCGAACCTGAGTCGAACCTGAGTCGAACCTGAGTCGAACCTGAGTCGATCATGCGTCGAAGCTGCGTCGAACCTGAGTCGAATCTGAGTCGAATCTGAGTCGAACTTGAGTCGAACTTGAGTCGAACCTGAGTCGAACCTGAGTCGAATAGATCCGTTAGGTGGGCCCCAGGAAGGTCCCCAGGACGAGCATCGAAATCATTGGGATCACATATGACATAAAGGCCGCCCAGGTAGGCCATGATCCTCTGTTCGTGGCAACACTGGTCGCGGACCTGCTGCGACGTTGGCTTGAGCACAACAAAACAAAGCCGCTATGCTTCCTTGTGTTATCCACTGGCGGTTTGGAAATATCTTGCTCTTGCCTTCCATCGTTTCCCGATTTGAGGTGGGATCGGACACCGAACCATTGCTTCTCAAAAAGGAAGCCTTTCCAACGATGGATCGGCAATGGGTCTTTGGAACATGCAGGCTCTGCGAATGCGATTGAAGGATATTACCGGACCAATGCTTGAAATGGTTTTGTCCAGGTCCAGATCCGATGAATATTGCAGTAGGCGCGTGATCCGTACCCGAGTTAACTTGGATGCCGAAATTGATTGGCCAGACCATCGTCTTGAAGTCCGCTTGGAATCATTTGGCAAACGTTATAGCCACGAAAGTCCGGAATGTACCACCACACGAGATGCCCCGCACACGGGAATTGGGTTTA